ACTCACAGTCTCACTCACAGTCTCACTCACAGTCTCACTCACAGTCTGACTCACAGTCTCACTCACAGTCTCACTCACAGTCTCACTCACAGTCTCACTCACAGTCTCACTCACTCACTCACTTGCTCACTCACTGACTCACTCACTGTGAGTGAGTCACTCACTCACTCACCACCGCCGCCACCATCACCACGATCTCCAACTTCATCACCACCATCACCTCTCTGGACCCCAATGCATCTAGATCTCTAGACTTTCTGCTGCTACACCTCTAGACCTCACACAGACTGTTTGGGGTCTCTTGCCGCGATAGTTATTCTTCAAGGCCCTGCTTCAAATTAACTCCAAACTCTAGACTTCCCTAGGCTGGGTGTTCCATGTTCAGGGACCAAATCTGCCCCACTCATTTTACTGGTATTACTATGTATTACTAGTAATAAGGTGTCAAATAAACAAAACTCGGCATTGCGCATATGTTCAGGGAAGGAGCGGGTATGAGTGTCCATGTTTGCTATGCACAAAGCCTCAGCATGTTCAAAAAACAAGCCTTTAGTTGTGCACGGAGTGTAAGCTTCTTTTCAGTCTCCATCTCAATTCTGCTAGGCAAAATACTCCTTACACCCAAGCCTCTTGTTCACCTTCTACAATCACAGCCTCCTGCCAGTCCTGGCGCACATTTACGCTGCAAATTTCAGGGGTTGGACTCCTTTTGAAACCGACGCTCAAAAAGAAACTCCATTGGAATCCAGTGGAATCTCCGTTGAAGCGGCATGTCATCTATGACGGCACCCCGTCATCTTGTTCTTCGTCTTCTTCTTCTGGATCTCTCTGTCGTCGTCCAGTGAAAAGCTGGCGGCACAAGCAGTCACAATGGCAGGTTGCACCAGGCTGACTTTAAATGGATGTGTTGCAAAAACAATGAGGGACCCTTAATTGGAAACAAACTCTGAATCTAAATCCTAGTGGGTCTCAGTTGAGACTCACCTTTTATCAACACATGGTGCAATCCACTGGCATGAGTATCACAATGAAGATGAACTGGCACGAGGCCGGCCCAAGTGCGAACATGTTTTGTACCGTTTTGGATCAACGCATTAGAGCATTATTGGTCCCAGTCTAAGGGCGAGCAGTGTCGTGCGCACTGATCGGATTCCTTTGAAAACATGTGGCAGCGAAATCTCTATTAGGTTGGAGGCTATTGCTCTTAGGTTGGAGGCCATCGCTATTAGGGTGGAGGCCATCGCTCTTGGGTTGGAGGTGGCGTGGAGGCCATCGCTCTTCGGTTGGAGGCCATCGCTATCAGTGCCTCATAGACACTGGAGAAAGCATCTGAGCTTTCCTGCATGTCTTGCACTCTTTCGAAGCCATCCCTAGAACTGAAGAAACTGAAGATACAGCCCTACCTCCCTGTATTTCTACTATGCTTTGATAAGGCAACTACAAGCCTGGACCTGAGAATACTACCCTGTATTTCTACTATGCGGGTCCTGCACGTTCACCAAGACTCGTGAAGACTTGCCCTTCTTGGGCGCCTGGGAGGGTGTCCCATCTGGTACTCAAACTCCAAAGTGTTTAGTGTGGGTGTCCTAGTGTTTAGTGTTTATACGGATGATGGTGCCAAAACTTGTCTGCCATCATTGTCATGGACTAGGTGTCAGCAGGTGTTCATCCGTCTAGATTCTAGATAAGACAAAGACCCAAACATCAATGGACTCCTCAAGATGCGAATC